CATGTGTTTTAACTTAGGACATGGCTAGTTGAGGTTTTCGTTGGGGAAATCTTTTGATCCATTAACTCTAAGAGCAAATACAATGTTAAAACACATAGTTTCTCCATTGTGTTTTACTTATTCAGTAAAAGTAAAAAAAAAATGGCATATAACAAAGACTACAATTATAGATCCTTATTATATGAACTAGCTTCAAAATTTTCAACAATGAAAAAAAGATTTCACTGTTTTAAATCCACCTGGCTAGAACTCTGTATACTATGTGATATTTGCACTAATTACATGAAATAAAGCAGTAAGAGAGAGGCATGTCTTTAAAAGTCATGAATTGTGTTCCAATTATAGCAGTTCTGTCCAGACTATTAGGATGAATAATAATAGGTATGTAGCTATTTAACACCAAAGATATAATACATCTGGGAAAATATTTTGGTCATAGTCATTATCCAAATGAAAATAGAAAGTGTAACTTTTCCCCTTATTAAATTTTGTACTTAGATTAATGATTTCATTTCACATAGTTTAGCATTTGATTGTAACGCATTCTTATGTGTTTCAGATAAAATTCTCTCCCCTGTAGGATTGTGGCCAGGTGACTCTTCTAGATGCATTTAAAGCTTATACAGAGCTAGTTTTGTAACTGAATCCAACAGATGCCAGTTAACCTGTTAGAAATTAAATAATCTAGCTTTTGTCTGTATTTTCACAAGTTATTAAACTAAAAGAAAACAATGAATGTTTTTAAAATAGCAAATCTTTTTTTTTTTTAATGGGGAAAACTTAAATACTAAATTTTTTTTTATTGTTGTACTGGGGGGTTGTGACATTTACAAAAGTTCTTACAATATATCATGGTTGAATTCACCCCATCCATCATTCTCCTTTATCCTCCCTCCCCCAGCATTTCTTTTTTATAACATAAAAAAGGAGGGTAATAAGCTAATAGAGAAGCTGGGCCTGGTGACGCACAACTCTAATCCCAGCTACCAGGGAGATGAGGCAGGAAGATTGTGAGTTCCAGGCCAGCTCAGGCAAGCCCCATTTCAAAAACAAAATATAAACAAAAGGGCTGGGGGTGTGGTTCAGGTGGTAGAACACATGGTGCAATAACCTAGTACTACAGAAAAAAAAAGTAATGGACCTATGATAATTCTAATTACTTGTCTTTGAAATAATAGACTAAATGACCAACAGAGGAAGACACCAGTTCTACTGAAGAAATCCCTCTGACCTCTCCCGTATTTTTTAAAAGAAAACTGGATTTTCTCTGGTGTACCCCCACCCCCCACCCCACCTTACTTTAAGCAATAAAAAGTTCCTGAATTTCCACTGCCTCTGTTTGGAAACCAATTTTCAATGACTTTCAGTTAAGAATTTTCATTCTGTAGATGCTTACTGAGCACTACAGGGCCCTGTGCTTGATCCAAGAGCTGATTACATAGAATACCTGTCTATGTATTCCATCCCATACCTGATCATAGGAGGCTAGTAGTCTATATGGTGGAAAGACCCGTTTTTATAATTTACATTGACGTGTTCAATACAAAAAGAAAGTGCATTATATTGGTAGAGTTGAGAGAATGGAAGAGGGAAGACCTCAGGCAAAGGGAGCATTTGAGCAGGGCTTGAAAAATTAGGAGTGATAGAATGGGGAGAGCATGGCACATACAATTTGGGAGGTGGGGCAGGTGTTAGGTGCCTTTGGAGACCAGTTGGTTGTCCACTTTGGCTGTAAAATCACTAACATGGATCCAGGAGGAACTCAAGCTAGTATATGAATTACAAAGCCATTTAGCTTTTTGTCGTTGTTGAGTAGTAGAGAGCCCTTGAAGGTGTTTGTGCTAGGGAATAACTTAGGTTGGAACATTAACAATATTCACCCATTGACTGTTTTGAGAGATACAAGAAGAAATTCAAGATAGGAATTAAAGTGAAAAGAAAGAAATTCTCAGCTGAGATGGGGTGGGGCAAGGGAAGTAAAAAATGAGCTGAATTCATGGAATTTGGCTGCATTAGATACAAAAGGCTAGAGTCAAAGTTTGTGTTTGTATAACCACTGAAAATGGATTTGACCATTTTGAGTTCACGAGGGGTCCAGAATTGAAATCCTGGTGGTGGTGGAAAGCAGCTGATTGTTCAGGGTTCTATGAGGGTAGGGGCAGCCATCTCCATCTCTGCACACCAGTTTCCCAATTCCAGGTGTCACACTCAGGTGTCCAGAACAGGGCAAGAATGTGGTGGATTTACCATCTTTCATACCATCTGAATGACATAAAATATTTAACCCAGCATCTGGTATCTGTCTGAAGTAAAGGATCCTTGGGCATTGACTGTTATTACCCACAGGGAGTGTAGGTCTGAACCTGTGATGGCAGAAAGACTGATGAGTGGTCAGTAGGCAGTGGAGGCCTGGGAGTGATTTAGGGCCTCAGACAGTTTAGGGAAATCTCTCATTATGAAAGTGGGAAAAGGAATGGTAAAGAAGGACTAGGGTAGAGAGACTTCCCATCCTGAAGCATAGAGATCAGGGAGGGGAGGAACTGAAACTCCCTGATTTTCAGGGAGTTTTGAGTGTAGCTTTTTAGGAAGACGTTGAGCAGCCTGGGAAGAACAAGATGCAGGAGAGCTGAAGCCGGGTTACTTGTGGTTAAGAAGACTATTAGGGAAAGTGAAAGATCCTGTAGGCTAAGGAAGAGCTAATCATCTCAATTAAAGGAAGGGATGGGAGGCAAGATTTCTAAAGCATCTTAAAGGCGGTAGGGTTTTTAAGTTTGCACTTGCAAAATAATGAGTGGGGTAGGATGTACAAGTAGCACAAGGCCAACACACTGCATAGTTCCTGTCATCTGTGTGTGCGGCCTCCCCTGGCGTGTGCCGTTCTCAGTGGGCAAGATACTGTGCGGCAGCACTGCTGTGGTGGCATATATTAATAAGTGAGTAGGGTGTAATATGTAACATAGAACAAATATGAATGATTTCTAATAATTAGTGCAATAGGTATATTATAACAAACACTTAATAAGTACCTACTATGGCCAGCAGTATTATAAGTGCTTTTGCCTGTATTATCTCATTTAGTCTTCTCAACAACCCTATGAGGCATAGGCGTTATTGTTCTCAATTCATAGCTGAGCTGGCTAGGTAACTTGCTCTGAGTCACACAGTTGGGAAATGATAGCACCAAGATTAAATACCATGCTGCTAGCAGTCATTTCTGCTGCTTTATTTAGTAGCTGGATTGCTTAGGATGTGCCAGTGGCATATCTGATGAAACAGGAAGGTACTAGAGAGAGGAAAATTGATTGTGAAGGAGAGGGCTTATGGTTGCTGATGGTCCAGTTTGTTTCAGAGGGGTAGATGGTATGAAAGATGGTAAGTCCACCACGTTCTTGCCCAGTTCTGGACACCTGAGTGTGACACATGGAATTGAGGAACTGGGGTGCAGAGATGGAGTCGGCTGCCCCTACCCTCATAGAACCCTGAACAGTCAGCTGCTTTCCACCACCACCACAATTTCATACCATCTGAATGACATAAACTATTTAACCCAGCATCTGGTATCTGTCTGAAGTAAAGGATCCTTGGGCATTGACTATTATTACTCACAAGGAGTGTAGGTCTGAGCCTGTGATGGAGAAAGAGTGCTGGTAGGCTGGATGTGGTGGTCCATGACTGTAATCCCAGCATTGGAGAGGCTAGGGTAGGGGGATCGTGGGTTCAAGGCCAGCCTGGACTACATAGTAAGTTCCAGGCCAGACTGAGCTACATAATGAGACTATCTTGAAAATAAATAATAACAGTAATAATAAAAGTGCAGGTAGAAAGCTATCCAAGGAAAATCATCCACTTGCGCTATTTATTCTTCAAGAGAGAAGGAAGAGAGGGTTGGCAATAATGCAGAGAAAGAGGGAGGGAAGGGATTTTGCAGGAAAAAGATAACTTCAGAGATACTTTAAAGTGGTGAGGGAGACCAGCATCTATCATGAGAACCTTCCTGTGGATTTTTGAAAATGGTCTCCCATTTAGCCCTAGTAGTCTTATTGGAGCAAAGGACCAGAGTAAGCTAGCATTAGGGTGGGAAGGTTATTGACCTTGACAGATTTCCAGAGTCTCCTTTAGTGGAGCTGTGAAGGTGGCCCTCCAGGGAGAGGTCTGCTCCTGGTTCCATTTGCTCTCACAGATGGAGTTGAACAGGAAGAGAATTTTGAGGAAAAAGTCATCTCTTTCTTTGTCTCTTATGAAGATGTCCTAGGTTTGGGGGAGGAAGAGAAACACAAAGCAGAGGAAAGAATGAAGAAAGCAGAGACATTTTGAATTTGAGAGGTGCTGAGACATGGGCAGCACTTCACTGAGTAATTCCAGAAAGCAGATCTGTCATTAGAGCAGAGCTTCTCAAACTCCGTGAGGAGAGTTTGTTGTTCTTGTTTTAAGATTGCAAACTATTTATATATAAATAAGTTAGAAAAAATTAATAAAAAGCCAAGATGTAAGTACAAACCCAGTTTTTCTATTCTGTAGTACTGCTTTTAAAAAGATTCTAGGTGCTACTTTTAATTTCTGCAATTAGCTTGTAATGGACTCCTTACGTTCTCAGTAAAAGTGGGCCTCACTTTGCCTAGTACGGGTGGAGAATTTTAAGTGCCAGGCAGGGCTGCTTACAGGCTGTCCCCCTACTCCCATCTCTTCCCAGGGAGTATAACCAAGGGTATGGCACATGGGACAGGCGCACATCATATAAATGCTTTTTAAACAATACCCTGTAAGAGATGATTTTTTTTAAAAAAATGCAGTGTAAGATTAGTATTATAGAAGGTCTTTCAAGAAGCAGCTAATTTTTTTCACCTCATGGTGGATAGAACCAAAGCAAAATATGCTTTCCCTTATTTGGAAATTTTCAAAAACCACATATTTGTACATTTCAAAAAACCTTAGAGTTCCCAGAAGGCATCATGTGTCCCTGATGTACACAGTAACCTGAGCCCTAGTTCACCTCTGTTTAGGTTGTGGCAGCAGCTAAGGTGTGTGGAGTTGCCGACGAGTCGCCATCAGTGAAGAGTCTCCGCTTGCTTGTTGCTGATAAAGATTTTTCCTTTAAAGCTGGCCAGTGGTAAGTAGCATTTCTTTTTTCCAAGGGTGTATATTTAAGTAGGTGCCATCAGATAGGAGGAATTTAATTTTTTTCTGGAAAGAACTTCTGGGCTAGCTGTTCCCCCTGAGGGAGAAGAATTCGAGGTCATTTCCATTCATGGTGAGCCTTTTTTGGCATGGAGAATCTGATTCCTTCCTTGGCCTGAGCCCACTTTGCTTTGAGCCTGTGGCCCTCTCTTAGTCATACATGAAAATTCTTTTGAGTTTTCAGGCTTCAAAGAAAGCAGCTAGTTCTGGTCCATGGAACCAACAGCTCTGATAATTGCGTTCTGCAGGAAGGCTTGCTAATGGAATGCACTGCAATAATCTAATCTGCTTGAGTTATGTGTTGCTGGGGATTCGTGTGCTTCTAAAAATTAGTCTTCTTTATGTGTAAGACAGTAGACAAAGCAGTCTCAAAGAATAGCAACCTGATACGTTATTACAGGGCTGACCATCCTCTCAACTGAATTCCTGTATCACTCATACCTTGTCTGCCTTGAGTTGAAATATTTTGCTCAATAAATTATCAGGATTCCCCGGTCAGCTTCCCCTGCCCTTCCCCCACAAAATCCTAAGTGCGTCCCTTTCTACTGTGAGGACTAATCAGTATGCTGACAGGCTAACAGCACAGCTGTCCCACTGTTCCTCCCAGTGGCCTCTCAGAGCTGCAACTCCAGTCGAATTGTAAATAAAACGACTTTCATTTCCCTAGGAAAGGTGTGTTTGGGTGTGTGTGGCTTTTATTTAAACAAAGCATTCATTCCTAAATGAATTTCTGGCATGTCAGTCTTGATAGTATTTCTTAGGAGTCACTTGACTAATTTTGGCAGTCCATCTGGAAATGTGGTTTTGTTTGAAGGAGGCTGTGTGATAATAGCAAGAGTTAGCAGTCTTGTGTTAATAGTTTGCCTTTGAATTTAGAACTAGAAAACAAGATGCTGATTGCAATAATTTGCGTTTGTGAAGCAATTTACTGCAATCTTTGCACATGTTCGGTGATACACATTAAATGCATTTTGGCAGTTTTAGGGGGTGGGCAACACATTTACCCTTCAAAAATGGTGTAGCAGTTACTACGTTCAGAAGTGGAAACTTTAATTGTAATGATCTGTTTTTCTGTATTTCCCTTGTATGGAAGTGTTTATGTCCTATGTGTAGCATTGTCTCTGTGCCTTCAACTCGGAATTCCTCCCAGATTCAGACCCCAGTTCCCTGGGCAGAAAAGGTACCATGGTATGCCTGTGAGTATATTAGCATTGCGGTGGCCTGATGAGAACAATGTCATTGTTTCCTAGTGGTGCACAGTGATTCTCAAGATAAAAGCATGTGATGTCTCCTGTCCCAGTAAGTGAATATGTCCTTTCACTGATGTTAGGACTCATTTTAGTGTGTGCCTAACAAACTCTTGCTTCAGGGTAGGGGTGATTAGAGGTAACACTTCCCCTGCCAGTATGGATCAGCATTGTTCCTGGGCCCTGGGCCCTTTAAAAAGATTGTACTCTTACTACTGATTTATTGTATGGCTTTGAGGGTTCTGAGTTCCTTTTTTTCTGTTTTTGGTCTTTTCTTTTTTGATGCTGGGATTGAACCCAGGACCTCATGCTTGCTAGGCAAGTGCTCTACCACTGAGCTATATCCCAGCCCTTCTGAGTTCCTTTTTGATATTTTACCATATAGTTTACAGGATGGCCATTTTGTTTAGGTTGGTGATGTCCCCCGTGTCTTGCTCTTGCCTTATGCTCCAGGTTCTCTTAGATCAGCAGCTTTGAAGAGGGTGAAGCAAGAGGGAGTTGGGAGGTGGATGCCAGGAAGTCCGTGTAATTAGGATTGTGAGTGGAGAGCTGCTAGAGGTAAAGGATCACAAGGATCACACACTGAAAGTGTTGCATTCCTGGCTCTTCACTTATACTCCCTCCTCCATCACCCTGTGTTTTTTTTAAGCGACATCTCTGTGAAGTCTTAATTCTTCCACTTCTCGTAGAGTTGACTGTTTCCTCCTTTAAGTTATTATTTAAAATAATTTAAATTATATTAATAAACAATAGAATTTATTAAAATAAAGATTTCCTCCCATTAAAATGGATTTATTGAGGGCAGGAAGCAAGGCATCCATGATGTCAGTACCTCCCACGGTGCTGTCCATGGTAGGCAGGTGCTCTCTGGCATTTGCACAGTGAATGAGCTCTGAGTGCTGTAGCACAGTATAAAGAGTTCAGGATCTCACGTTCAGTTGGCACAGTTTTCATGCCCACTGTGCTGGGTGTTGGGGCCGCCTCTGTGGACAGGACCTGGACACCTGGTACAGAGCTGGACACTGATGTGCTGATGCACTACATTCCCGGACTCCTTCGTCATGCATCTATACAGCAGGTGCCTCAGTTCTTGGCTCCAAGGTTGTTCTTAAAAGGTTGAAGTTTAAAACTTGATTCTTTCTTGGACAGATGTTTTATGAAATGTATATTGTGCATATCTTTTTAATCCCCACTCGTATGGATCTTTTAATATAATTTGACTTCTGTATATTTTAATGAAGGAGACCTTTTTTTCTGAAGGTAGCTTTCCAGATTAGAATAAAGTTCTTTTCACTCAAGAAAAAGGTCTTTATCAGCATCGAGCAGCAGAGGGCGCTATAGTTCAGGAAATGAAGCAGCAAAAGTAGCTCATAGATGAATTTATTAAACATGAAAATAGTGGAGAGTACTAGGAACACAGATAGCACATAGTGATTGTGTTAATAATTTTGACTAGTCTTAAATTTTTACGTTGTCTGAAATGAGAGGGAAGTTAAAGTGTTCATGGAAAAGAGGCAAATGAAAATAGGTAAACAGGCTAGAGACCTTTTCTGAAGCACTTCCAATCCAGAGCTAGTTTTGGTGAATTTTTAAGGTCAGAGATTAGAGGAAAATATGTTTTAAGGTCATAGATGAAACCAGTATAGAGCATCTTGTGCTTTTCATATAAGCCTGCATGTAGGAAAACAACAGAATAGTTTTTGCTCTTTGATGGCAGAGGAAATACCTAGAATGGATGTTTAAGTTTCCTAGACATAGGGATGAGAGGTTTTTGGGGTTTTTTTGTTGTTGTTGTTTTTAGTGCCATGTTCTTTTCTTTGTATGTGACTAGATTTGTTGCATTTTATAATTCCCACCAAAAAAGGGGGTTTCTGTGACATAGGGTTATGTCAAGGAAGGATCATAAGGATTTTAGGTTGTAAGAATTTAGTTAAAAGGAAACAAAAGTCTTTAGGAACTAGAAGATCATGTTAGCCTATTAAAGTTTAGCAAAAACCAGTGAGTTTTTGTTGTCTTTTAAAACACCATTTTACAGGCAGGTATGGTGGCTCATGCCTATCATCCTAGCTCTCCAGAGGAGTTTGAGGCCAGCTTTGGACCATGTAGTGAGTTTAAGGACAGCCTTAGCTACTTATTTACACCCTGTTTCAAATTTTTTAAATTTATATGTATAGTTTACATATAAAATTCACTGAGTATACAGTTCACTGGGTTTTGGTGTACTAACAGAGTTGAGCAGCCAACGCATAATCAAATTTTATGGCATTTTCACTATCCCAGAAAGAAACCTTGTAGCAATTACCATTCATTCCCCGTCCTTCTTTCTCCAAAGACAATTATTTATCTACTTTCTGTCTGTATAAATTTGCCCGTTTGGAACATTTCATGTAAATGCAGTCACACATTCTGTGATCTTTTTGTGACTTCTTTTTCTAACTGTTTTCACATAACATGATTTCAGAGTTCATCTGTCTTATAGCATGTATCAGTAGTATTTCATTCCATCGGTGGATATAATATAAGTTTTTATCTATTCATTAGTTAATAGACATTTAGATTATTTCTACATTGGGGCTATTATGAATGATGCTGCTATGAACATTTGTTTTCAAGTTTTTGATGGACATATATTTTCATTTCTTTTGGGTATAAACCTAGAAGTGGAATTGTTGGGCCATATGATAACTCTTAATATTTTTGTGTACTGCCAAACTGTTTGCTACAGTGGCTGTACCATTTGACATTCCCACTAGTAATGTATAAGGGTTCTGATTTCACCAGATCCTGACTAATACTTGTTTGTCTTTTTGATCATAGCCATCCTTTTGGGTGTGAAGTAGTAACTTATTGTGGATTTGACCTACATTTCCCTAGTGACTAACGATGTTGGACATGTCTTCATGCTTATTTGCCATATATATACATTCTTAATTAAAACTCATTTTAAAATTTGAGTTGTCTTTTATCGTTGAATTGTAGTTCTTCATATAATCTGGGAGTACAAGTTCTTTAATAATATCATTTGAAAATATTATATTGTGTGCATCGTCTTTCAACTTTCTTAATGATCTCATTTGTAGTACAGTTTTTAATTTTAATGGAGTCTGATTCTCTCTCTCATTTTTATGGTTTGGTGTCATAGCTAAAAAACCATTACCATCTATTCTGTGCTTTCTAAGAATTATTATTTTGGCTCTTATACGTAAGCCTGTGTTCCATTTTTACTTAGTTTTTGTATATGGTGTGAGCTGGGAGTCCCAAACTTCATTGTTTTGCATGTAGTTATCCAGTTTTCCTAGTGTTGTTTGGTGAGTAGACTATTTTCTATTGAATTGTCTTGGCACTTTTGTCAAAAATCAATTGACCACAAATTTAAGGGCTTATTTCTGGGCTCTTTTTCTTTTCTATTGATCTATGTCCATCCTCAACCAGATCTTCATATACTCTAGCTTTGTAGTAACTTTTGGAATGAGAAGGTATGAGCCCTTCAAATTTTTTCTTTTTCAAGTTTGTTTTGATGATTCTGGATACCTTGAGTTTCCATATAAATATCAATTCCCAGTTTCTACAAAGAGACCAGCAGTATCTCTTTGGTAGATTTTGTATTGAATCTGTAGATAAATTTGAGGAGTATTGCCATCTTAACAATATTAAGTGTTCTACTCTATGAACATGGGATATCCTTCCATTTATTTAGATCTTTAATTTTTCAACAATGTTTTATAGTTTTCTGTGTATAAGCCTTATAGTTCTTTTGTTAAATTTATTCCCAATTATTTTATTTTTGTACTATTATAGAAAATTGAATTTTTCTAAATTTTACATCTGGATTTGTCACTGCTAGTACATAGAAATAGTTGACTTTTGTTTACTAATCTTGTGTCCTGCAACCTCATTTGAATCTGTGTATTATTCCTTTGGATTATCTTTCTTTTTTTTTTTTCCTTTTTTTCTTTCTTTTTCACTATGTAGCCCAAGCTAGCCTCGAACTTGTGATTCTTCTGCTTCATTTTCATGAGTGCTAAGATTATAGGCATGTACCACTATGCTCATCATCCCTTTGAGTTTTCTATATATGAGATTATGCCAGCTGCAACTTCCTCCTCTCTGATCTGAATGCTTTTTATTTCATTCTTTTGCGTATTTTCCTTAGCTAGAACTAGTACAACGTTGAGCAGAAGTGGTAGGAGTGGACATCCTTGTCTTGTTCCTGTTCTTTGGGAGATATCTTTTAGCCTTCTACCATTAAGTATGATGTTAGCTTTGGGTCTTTTGTAGATGCCCCTTATTGGTGTGAGGAAATTCTCATTTTTTTCCTAGTTTGAGTGTTTTTATTATGAAAAGTGTTGCAGCATTAGTTGTATTTTATCAAATGTCTTTTGTGCATCTAGTAAGGTGACCATATAAGTTTTGTCTTTTTTTCTAAATGTTATTACACTGATTGATTTTCACATTTAAACCATCTTTATTCCTGGAGTTTTTGTGCCTTTATCAGAAGGGATATTGGTCTGTAGTTTCCTCCCAGTTTCTGTCTGGTTTGGGTATCAGTATAGAGTAATGGCTTCATAGAATGAGCAACAGTGTGTTCTTCTCTGTTTTTGTAAGAGTTTGTAAAGGATTGGTATTAATTCCTCTTTAAGTATTTAATAGCATTCACCAGTGATGCCATCTGCACTGAACTTTTCTTTCTGGGAGTTTTAAAAATACTAATTCAATCCTTTGACTTCTTGCAGGTATGCTTAGATTTTCTGTTTCTTCTTGAGTCATATTGGTTAGTGTATGTCTTTTTTGGAATATGTGCATTTCATCTAAATTAAATTTTGTTACCCAGTTCATAAAATTCCTTTCTAATTCTTTTTATTTTTACAAGGTTCTTAATTACTTTTTATTCTTAATTTAGTAATCTTTTCTTTTTTTCTTAGTTTAACTAAACTTTTGTCAATTTTGTTTGCCTTAAAATTGCTTCAACAGTAATCATTTATTTACCTTTTTTTTTAGGATTGATTTCTTTATCCCAGGAGTCTCTGTGGTTGGTGGCTTTTCCATATGCTCCAGTCCCAGACTGCTAGAACAAGACAGAATGATAGAATTGGCAGTGAAATATGCAAACCACCCCCCTGCTCTCTGGATTCACAATAAGGTAAGCAATTTCGGTTTTCAGTTTGGTGATCTGGGCATCTGCCTCCCATAAAATTTGTGTCCATCTTAAAACACTTGGTATTGAGTATATAGAATACATAATCATGCAGAGAGGGTAGAAGAGCAGAACTTTTCTTTTTTCCCTGTGGTACTGGGGATTGAATCCAGGGCCTCCTGTTGGGAGCAGATTATGAGAAGCCTACATAAGCACAGTTGTGCTCAATGACAGGCTGAGTTTGGCACAGCCCCAGCTCAGACAAAATGCAGCTCAGCTGCTTTTCCTAAGTTGTTTACGTTCAGAGAAGCAGGAACACAGGTTTCTCTTGTCACAATGTCACGCCCCTCCCAGAGAACTGTTGCTCCACCTCCTTGTTTACCACTGTATATAAAAGACTCGCTAAAGGAGGACTTGAGGCTTTTTGATGGCAGATTTTGATTGGCTGCTGCTGATGCTGGCTGCTGTGTCTCCACCAGAGCAGCTTTCTGCACTGAGAACTTTATACATCGGCTTTACAAAAACTATGCTAAAGAAAAAGGTAAGGAGAACATGGGACAGTGCAAGTCTAAGGGCCAAGACTTTAAGAGAGATAAAAGAAAACATGGGACAGTGGGAGTCTAAAGAAACAGACTTTAAAGAACAGAAAAGAAGACTTTAGAAGCAAGGTTTTAAAGAATTGTAAAGGAGTAAGGCCTTAAAGAATAGAAGAGAAGCAAAGTAAATGAAGAGGATAATAGAGAAAAGAAGCAATGAGGCTGTTGTGTGTCTCCATCCAAGTGTCCAGCACACCTGGCCCCAACTTTATGAATGTCTGTCTATCACTTGTCCTTTCTGCATCTCCCATCACCCCCAGTTAGGTTCAGCAGTAACGGAGCGAGAGAAAGCTCGCTTCAGCCTCCTGCTTACTCGGCAAACACTCTAGCACTTGAGCTGCTTCCCAGTCCTGCAGAATATTTTTGATGTATTATGTTTGACTCAGAATGCCTGGGATTTGGAACTATGTTCTGTTTTTACCAAAAAATATTCAGTAGAATACTGTTTTGGATTTTATGCAAATTTTTGAAACTTGTCTCCTGTTTGTCATGTAAATGACAAATCTATAAATCAGGTTATTTTATAATAATCATCCTAAATAAAGGAAATTAAGTTATTCTGACCAGTATTTAGGAAAAAACTATCTACAGTTACATAATAGTGCTGGTCCCCAGAGGTGAGCATAGCTACTCACCTTGTGTCCATGTTCTGTCCACTTTTCATTGAAGGACTCGTCACACGGGATTCTGAGAGGGAGTCCAGATTTAACTGCTGCTGATAACTCATGCTGTATCATGGGACTCAACACAAACCCTACATAGGCCACCTGTCATTAACTACTAAACTCAGATGACAAAAAATAAACTCAGAGCAGATCAGTTTCTTATTGTCTTCATTTTGACTCTTACTTTTCACTGTCATCCTCTTCATTACCAGAGTGTGTCTTCTATATTTACCAACAACCTTCTTCCCATTCTAGGCAGTTCCTTAATCTCCTTTACCAGAAAGAAATGTGCCAGTACAAATATGGCTTCAAAAACTCAGCATTGTCCCCTTCTTTTCCTGGAAATCATTGAGAGTCAACAACGGAGAACAGAAAACAAAAACTCTTAACTTTATTCTCAGCAGAACTTGGAGACACACTCCAGTATATTTTTTGAAAGTCACAGAGCCACATGAGAACAAGTGGAGGAGAGAGACCAGCGGTTGCAGATCTCATAGAGCACTAAACATGCACATATGAGGGGGATGGGACTTAAAGCCCTTGTCTCCAAAAAAACATGGTTGGAAACACAGTTGAGGTTAGTAGCTGCAGAATTCCCACCTAGATGCAGTTTAATTCATTAGGAGACGAGGCACATAAAGAATCACACCAGCAAGCCATGTTTGTAGGAGGTAACACACCCTTGTATGGTTGAAGAGAGCTTTTGTTCTATGAAAACTTGCTAGTTCAGGAACTCTCTTGCCCATCCCCAGTATAGGAACATCTTGCATATGGTTGGTCCCTAAAAAAAAAATTACCAGCGTTCAAAGCTAGCTTGGGCTACACAGCAAGACCCTATATCAGCAACCAAAATATAATGTTAATATGGACTCATATTAACTCAAATTTAAAGTTAAAAGCTGGTGGCTCACACCTGTAATACTAGCCACTTAGGAGGCTGAGGTTGAGAGGATCATAGTTTCAGGCCAACCAGGGCAAAAATGTTTATGAGACCCCATTTCAGTGGAAAAAAGCCAAGTGTGGTGGCATGTTTTGCCCATCATCCCAGCAACAGTAGGAAGCTTAAAATAGGAGGATTGTGGCCTAGGCAAAAAGTGAGACCCTGTCTCAAAAATAACCCGAGCAACAAGGGCTGGAGGCAGGGCTCAAGCGGTAGAGCACTTGCCTCACAAACATGAAGCCCTCAGTTCGAACCCCTGAGTTCAAACCTCAATACCACAAGAAAAAAAAAAAAATTAAAGTATAAAGCAATAGTAGTCAAAATAGTATAGTATTGGTGAAAGGCTGGACACACAGATAAATAGAACAAAATATAGATAGATAGAACAAAAATTAACACACACACATATATTTTTTGACAAAGGTGCTGAAAAAAAAAACAGAAGGTAAAGCCTTTTCAATAAATAGTGTTGGAACAATTTTACATCTACATTAAGAAACTTCAACCTAAACTTCATACTTTACAGTCAAAATTAACTCAAAGTGGGTTGTAATTCTTAGATATGACACCAAAACCAAGATCCATAAATGAAGAAAAATGGACTTAATCTGCAAAAGTCTGTTACCAGAATTGAAAAATAGCTGATAGACTGAAAGAAAATATTTTCAAGTCAGAGATCCAACAAAGGACTTGTATCCAGAATAGATAAAGAACTCTTAAAAGTCAACAAAGGAAGAGAAACAACACACTTTTATAAAATAGACAAAGGATTGGATTGATACTTCCCTGAAAACAATATAAAGATGGCAAATAAGTAATGAAAGTTGTTCAGTGTCATTCACCACTAGGGAAACGCAGATTAAAAACTGTTGGTAGTAAAGTGGACATGCCTCACTTGGAAGACAGAAGCCGGAAGATCATGGACCTGGGCTACATAGTGAGATTTGAAAACAGAATACTACTCGGGAGGCAGAGATCAGAAGAATTGAGGTTTGAGGCTCCATCTCAAACAGTAGAGACTATGCAGTGGTGACACAAGCTGGGATCTCAGTTACTGGGAGGTATAGGTAGGAGGATGATGGTCTGAGGCTGGCACCCAGACAAAAATGCAAGGCCTTATCTAAAAAAATATACTAAAGCATAAAGGGCTGGAGACATGGCTCAAGTGGCAGAGTATTTGCCTGTCAAGTACATAGCCCTGTGTTCAAATCTCAGTATTGCCAAGGAAAAAAAAAAGCAAACATTTAGTGGGATACATAACATTATCTTATCACATTAATGACAAAAATTGAAACTAAGGACAATACTAGGATGCGGAGCAACTAGAACTCTCATACATTGCTTATATTGCTGGCAGGAATGCAAAATAGTGCAACTGTTAGGGAAAACATATCAAGTTAAATGTACGCTTACCATCTGACCCAGCAATGCTACTCCTGAGTATTTATCCTGGAGAAGGGGAGGCTGTGTTCACATAAATACCTAGCAGGAATGAATAGCAGTTTTGTTCAGAAGTATCACATGCAAGAAACAAACTGGATGTCCCACAGCAAGTGAATGGATGAACAAACTGTGACACACTCATACAGCAGATCAGCAATCAAAAGAGATGGATTGTTAATGCACACAACCTGGGTGAATCCCAAAGGCATGTTCCGTGTCAAAGCCAGTCCTGAAAGGTTACACACATTTTAATCCTTTTATATCACATTCTGGAGGACAGAAGTAATGATTATAAACAGATTAATGGTTGACGGTTGTAGTGGGAAAGGCTCTGGGATGGTGGCACTTTTCTATATTTTGGTTTTTATGGTAGTTACATAGGTTTATGCATGCGTTAAAATTCATACAGCTGTATACCAAAAGTGAAAAGTTTCACAGTAAGAATTTAAAAAAAATTTTTTTAAATCTGTAGGGGCAGAAAATTGCATCGTTTTTGTAGTATGTTCTTGTACATGTCAACTGGTGTCTGTTGAGGATAACCACAGGCACTTGCTGGACTTGGCATTTCCACTGTAAATGTATCCTGTCACATTTTTAATCCTTCCACCTCTGAGTCTCCTTTTTGTGATCTCAGCTGCCTCATTCCTTTCTAAATTCTCTGTAGGTTTTCAACTCATTACCATCTTAAGCTGCTCTTATGAGTCTAAAGTACGCTTCTGGGGTGCCAACAAGGTGTCCATGTGCCCCTTGTCAGATTCAGAGTGCTCATAGCCATTCTCCTTCCTAGTGTCATCCCCCTCCTCCATACACACACCCTGCCCTGTGGTTGTCCTCAGCCTCCCACGTGACCTGGTCCTGGTCCACCGCTCCCTGCTTGGTTTCATGCCTCATTGGCATTTCAATGAAGGAACTTATTCTTACAGCCTGTAGAAAATCTCCAAGTGGCATTGCCTGAGTGCACATCCTAATTGTAGTGCCTGCTCTACTCTGCCCAGTGGGAGTTACAAACAGCCTTTATGAACTCAGATTTTTCTTGGAACCATTTTCAGGTGGCTGTTTTTCTCCTGAGGATTTGTCTTATTAAGCTATTAGAGTGGACAATGGAGGCACGTGAGTGTCTGGGTGGCAGCAGGCTGCTCTGTTGGGACATGGGATAAAGTGCCATAAATGTCTTCCTTTATTTTATGGGCTTTGGCTCAAGCTCTTGGCAGGGTAAAGGGTTCTAGACAGCTATTGTGTGCTCAGCTTCAGTTGCTGAGGAAAGGTTATTTATTTCACAAGTAGAAAATCAAATTTGATAATGGTGCTATGTCATTGAAGGTACTGTCCTTTTACTTACTTACATATTATATTGTGCATTGCTTTGAGTCTTGTGTTCATGTTATCCTGGCAATTTTTATTGATCAACAAAAGAAAGGTGACTTTGGATTCTTTCCAGATGCCAGCGAATTAGAAGATAGATCTCCTGACGATTATTTTGTCACTAAGGAGAAGACAGGCTTCTTGGGTATTACCCTTCCTTGGGGCACATTTTCTTGCCAACTTTAGGGTTGAACATACTCTAGTTTCTAAGAACAATAAGCTAATGGCTTTCTTCATTGTCATTACTAAACACACCAAAGATGGCCATTGGGGAAAATTATTTTGGTTATTTCTCAGTTTCTTTTGCTGTCAGATTATTATGGATAAAGAAAGATGTGTGTAGGCAAGAGAGAGGGACAGCGGAGGATGCAGGAAGATAAAATCCATCATCATCATCAGGCAGAGCCTCTTGTATCTTGGATTCTATTTTCAAGAGTTGAAAGGAAGGAGCATTTTAAAGCACTTTGGTAACCAGTGCAGTCACTCTGGATTTTAGTTATTCTGAACCAAGTGCTCCCTTGCTGCTAATTTCTTTTGTTAAAATGAAAACCCACTTAGTATCATTCATGTAACAATTTCCTGCATATTTAAAACAGTTAAACTCAGATATTTTTTCCCCAGAGAAAAGATTTCCATTCATTTAACAGTTCTTTACTAAAAAGGACCTATTTTGTGAATTCAAGTAATTTTCATTTTTTTCTTAGATTTTTTCTCTTAAGTTTAGTTCATCTTTAAGTTTTATTTCCTGCTTACCTGACCTGTATGGTACCATAGTTTTCATGCCAAGGGTTTCATCCTCAAAAAAGTATGTGATATGTTATTATTGCTAAGAGAGGGTTTGTTTAGTTGATTTATGCTAGGAATGTGTAATGAGACAAACCTGTGCTCTTAATGTAGCTTTCTTTATTCTTGAGTTCTGTTTTTTTAGTGACAGGGAAGAAAGAAGCAGGTATACCCAACACTTTCTTCTGTGCAGCTATAATGACTCAAATACTTTCTCATATAGAGCCTGATACCAACAGGGATTTTTCTCCCCAGGGTATATCATTTGATGCCCACAACAGCTCTGTTAGGTGAGCCTGGTGCTATTACCCATTTTCAGGTATGGTAACTCAGGGAAGCTGAAGGACTTGCTGAATTTCCTTGGGGCTGTGATTAAACTTCAGTTTTTTTACTCTTAGATCAGTACTTTTTTTGTTCTTCAAGACAAGGAATTTTCAACATTATCAGATCCAATAATGTCCCCTTTCTAGAACTATCATGAAATGAAATTCATAGTTAATGGAACAAACATGGAAAATTAATAAAAAATAATTTTCTAGCTCTAATACAAAGGTGAAATAAAGTGACCTATAATCAAAGAATCTGTATTTTGATACATAAATGTGTGCCATATCAAAACTAGAAGATAGAATGAAACCATCAGATGGTCACACCTAAGCCCAGAATCACCATAAATACATGGTCTACAAATGCACGTGACACAGGTATGTTGGCAGGTGACAGAAGGACACACATGTCACTGGCTGGGATGTAGTCTTAAAGAACAAGGAACATACGTGGTTAAGTTCTGAACATAACCTAATTCAATCTATTCAGTGGTTACATTCTGGAAAATTCAGACCAAATTAGATCTGTGCAAAAAAGGTTTTGAGTTTATTTTTGAAATGAGTGTGTGATTGAGAAGTGCTTGGGAGGTTAGTAAAGCACACCTGTGAACATGTGTGTGAGAGCATTTCCAGGGGGGATTAAGTAAGAGGGGAGGACCCCCTGAATGTAAGAGGCACCATCCCATAGGTTGGGGGTCAGATGCAGTAAAAGAGAAAAATAAGAAAACCAGATACTGCGGGCATTCTCTCTCTGTTCTACCTGGCCTCCATGAGATGAACATTCTGCTTCTCTAGACCCTTCTGCCATGATGTTGTGCTCACCAAGCCCAGAAACCATGAACTAAAACCTGTGAAACTGGGAGCCAAAATAAATTCCTTTTAAGTTGTTGTCTCACATATGTCTTATAGCAATGAAAAGTCTACTCACACAGTTAGGCTCTAGTCTCAGATTATTACCAACTAGCTTTCACCTATGTGAAATGACCCACACAGATCGCTCAGAAATTGTCATGACTGTCTTGTCTGTTGCAGATGTTTGTATGCTGGTAAGTCAGCTCTCTGAATTAAAAAATCCTGATTTGTATCATTTGCTGATTTCTGTGCTGTAAATACTTGTACAGTGGCTGACTTTTCTGAAGATTTAGTCAACAGCTCAGCAGAGGCCAGTGCCAGGTCATTTTGTGGTCGTCTAGCCCTTGCAGACATCCAGCATGTGTAGATAGCTAGCACTTGCTCTCTACATGCCAGTTGGGTTCCTCACATCATTGTGAAAACAAAAAGCACCACCATGAGTTTCCAGAACACCCCATCAGGGGCAGTATCGCCACACTGAGAACTCTGGTGGTATCCGTGGTGTGAGTGACCTCACCAAATACTGGGTGATTTACCTGGGTAGACCTGTGTGAGACTCTGCCTTAGTGTGAAGCCTCTGGTACCTGTGTGGCTGCTCCAGAGAGAAGTGCAACACTGATAAGCATGCAAAATTGGTGTGGCTAGGCAGTTCTGAGTGTCAGGAGGGAGCCCCTGGTTCTCAAACTTCTGAGCCCTGATGATCTCAGGGCAGCCTATGTCATGACATTTGCCTCATCCTACCTCTCAGCCTTAGAACATGGGCGGACACTCAGATGAAGAGGACCATACTGCAGAGTTAGCCCTTGCCTGAATTTGTTGCCATTTTTATCAGCTCAGTTCATCACCTGAGAAGTTAACAAATGGCACAGTCACTGAAGCAAATCTCTTTCTCAATTCTGGAGTGTGGATCACAGAGGTAGAGTTGCAAATGGTCTACATAGTGGACAAGTGGAATCAGTTCACAGTGCCCTGGGAAAATGGAGAGTTGGCTGCAAAAACAGTCATCAATACTGATAAAAATGCATAAGACAGACCCAGTTGGTTTTATTAAAGTAGAAAATTTGGCTTAAAACCTGTGCTAAAAGGACTAAAGAATCTTTTCTTTCCTGCATCAGTGTACACTTGACTCTGAAGTGGCCGTGAGAGTGGGTGGAGAGTTCTTCTTTGACCCTCAGCCTGCAGATGCCCCTAGAAACCTCGTGTTGATTGCAGGAGGAGTTGGAATTAACCCTCTGCTTTCCATACTGCGGCACTCAGCAGATCTCCACCGAGAGCGGGCAAACAAAGGAAGTGGATATGAGATTGGAACAATAAAATTGTTCTACAGTGCGAAGAACACTAGTGAACTCCTGTTTAAGGTAAAGAGGGAATGTCTGTTTACAGTTTGCTGTGAACAGACTCGTGATGGGTATTACTTGTCCAGAAACATTTCTTTAGGTTCTGGTTTCTCTGCACAGGTTCACACAAAAGGCTGGGCAGGGGTTAATCACGGTCAGATGAAGGTTAACCAACATGTCTTATCCAGGATAGTTAAAACTGCTAATGTTGAGGATGCTCCCAGTTAAGTAGCAGGATAGGATGGGTCTTGCTCAGATGGTATCTGGAGCTTAATGAAATGGGTGAATAGGAAAGTCATCAGGGCCTGAGATTCCAGAGACAGACAGGAGGCTCAGGTGTCACAGGCGTGAGTAAAACCTGAATAGTTTGGACCCTTCTGAGTAAAGGAAGCCCCCATGAATTGCATCTGTTGAAACTAAGCACATCTGATGGAGAAAGCTTTCACTTAGAACTGCTTTGCAGCTGCAGGAATGAACAAAAGAACAGAAACAGTTAAAAGACACAACAGTGGTCAGTGAAACTGCTGTGAAATTGCCAATGCTTAAGAAAAAGGAAAAAGAAAAAACTCCCGGAGAGTTGGTAATATGCTTGTTAGCATATTCAGATTTCAATTAAAGCCAAATAGCCCTCTGTGCTCTGAATGCTCTGGCCTGCTAGGCTGCAAACAATATCTCCCTGAGTAGAGAACAAGAGCAACAGACGTGTGCAGAATGGCAGTTGAAGTTCGGCGTCAATGGTTGTGCACATCTGTTTTGATTTTTTAAAATTGTAGTGTGACCAACTATGTTTGACATTCCAGAAAAATATCCTGGATTTAGTAAATGAGTTTCCTGAGAAGATTGCATGCAGTTTGCATGTTACCAAACAGACTACACAAATCAGTACAGAACTTAAGCCATACATCACGGGTGAGTCCCCTAAAGATATTTTGACTCTCTCCATGCAGTTGAGTCATGGAGAGTTGAGCCTCTCCATGAAGTCATTTGATGGCCATGAAGTCGGTTGAGCCTCAATGCTTTATTATTGGGAGGTTGCCAGCTGGGAATATCACTACCAGGGAAATTGAGATGATTCATCATGGAAAAATAAGGAAAGGATTTAGTTGGAGTTACTTACTATTTGCATGTTTCCTACTGCTCATAATAACAATGTATTTTTGACATTTTTAGTAGGCCTTTGCATCATCACTATAGAATGTATACAAAAAGTTACATTCCAGACTTGGCTGAATTGGTTCCATTTCCATTGATGGTCATTTAAGTTACTCATGGTCTTCCCCTGTTGGAAGGATTTCTATAAAACAGTTTCTTTACTTTGCTGGAGGTAGTTTTGCATCTCTTCTGTAAAGACTGTAAATACCTGTAAAGTGGGTAGGCCCCTCCGAAGAGTGTTACTTGCTTCCCTCTTAGTTTGTCATAGGTTTAGGGAACCTGGAGAGGTACTGAGATTAAGTTAGTAGTCCTCATTTCTTGATACAAATGTATCTGCCTTAATTTGGTGTTTATTTTTTGGTAGAAGGAAGAATAATGGAGAAGGAGATAAGAGATCACATTTCAAAAGACACTTTGTTCTATATTTGTGGCCCACCTCCAATGACAGACTTTTTCTCCAAGCAACTGGAAAACAACCATGTTCCCAATGAACACATTTGCTTTGAGAAGTGGTGGTAGATAGCAGGCAAAGTCACAAAAGAAGAAGATGTGAGATCCATTTGGGAGAGTAAAAGATCATATTTAATACCATTTGTGGCACAATGGATTTACCTTGACTCGAGCCGTCTTAATTTTAAGGCTGTGAACTAGTTGACCAGTTGACAAAAAAAAAAAAAACCAAAAAAACCAGCACCAGATTTAAATGATAAACTTTTTGCAAAGACTTCAGTTGATCAAACCATTTTTTATTATATTGATTTTCTTTCATTAATAACTAATTATCTCAGGATGTACTGTGAATTGGTTAATACAGATAGATTTGTCTTTTGCCCTTAGGGAAAAAAGTAATTATGTACTCACATTTAATCATAGGAAATTGTGTCTTTTGGTGTGTGAACTGTAGACTGTCTTTAAATTATTTGATACCAATTCATATATCTTATGTTCAAAGAACTTCTAATTTAAATACATTCTTAATAATTTTGAAAGTTCTTCTAATGTCTTAGTTTACTTTTACCATGGCCTGCAGTATTATTTGGACCATTGAAGTTGCATCTGAAAATGGAAAATTGCTAGGAAAACTACTTTAGGCAGTTGAATATCGAGTGTGTTTGCTTTCTTGGTAATGAATATCCCGTGTGTATCCTAATTGTTAGTTTCTTCTCTAATGGAACCCTTTCTGTGTCCTGGCTGCCTGCCTTACCACTGTGAGAGGCAGCTTCCTGTTTGGAACAAAGGTGTTGGTGATTGGTGTTCCCTATTGAGTCTCCCTTCCCTGGCTGGGCTGGTGGCTGTGGAAATGTGGTTAGGATTGATTATCAGTATATAAAGCCACTTCCAAATCCTGCTTTTTACTTCCTTCCTTTTCCAGGGTTGTTCCTGGCACCAGCAGGTATATAACATACTCACTGAATGACTGAAAGAAGCAGTCAACATTTTAACTCCTTGCTAAGTCTGGGGTTGGGAGGCATTCCACAGGGTAGATAGAAAGAATGGTGGTGCCTCATCCTAGGCAGATTGAAATACTAGAATGCAGATTGTAGATGTATTTTTTCTATTTTTTGTTTAGATTTTTAAAAATCCAAAAGAAATTCATGGGTTGATTGAAGTCAAGCAGTGTTGGGTCATTGAAGGGTAAGTGGAGTCTGAGAAGAACAAACAGTGCTGGAGACCCAGGAAGCCTAGTTGAGATTCTGTGATTCTGTTCTTTTTTTAGTGGGGAGGAGGGAGATGATAGCATGGTTTGAACTCAGGGCCTTGCACTTGCTAGGCAAGTGCTGTACCACTTGAGCCACGTTCCCAGCAAGATTCGGATGTTGCAAGAAGACAGGTTGCCCTTTTTTTGTTGCTAAGGGCCTCCCAGGGACTTCTGGGCTTATACAGAATTGATTCATGGGACCCAAAGAGGGCTGGTCTCTCCACTGTAACCTCTGCCTTGTTTTAAGCTTTGTCAGATTTTAAGCAGAGGTTATTCTTAACAACAGTCATGTGCTATTTAATGACTGGGATATGTTCTGAAATAAGTGCTAGTAAGTAATTCCATTATTGTGCAAATATCATAGAGTATAACTCACAAAAGAAGATAACTATGACATCACTAGGCAATACAGTCTTACTTAAGACTGCTGTTATATATGCGGCCCATCATTGACCAAAACATCGTTATGCAGTGAGGGTTGTATTTGATCCCAGATGTGAATTCAGAGGGAGGGATAGAGAGGTTGGTGACCTGATGAGCATATGGAAGTTCAGTCTAGGAAATGATTGTCTGCATTTCAGAGGTGAGTAGACTAGGAAAAGCTGTGGGCCACCACAAAGAGTTAGGACACCAAAGTGTCCTGAGTTGCGGGCTGGGCTTTAGAGCTGAGTGCTCAAAGGTGTAGGAGCACAGCACAATGAGGTTCTGGAGTGTTGGGTCAGCAAAGGGCTCTTTTGGCAAGTAGCAAAGGCAGGTGTCACCCATTACTTCTGTCTGACCAGCGCCACGCTGTGTGCCTGCTGTTGTCAGACAGCAAGGGCCACCCACCTGTTCTGAAGATCCTGGCTCTGCCTGCCGCCTTGTGCTGACTCACTGTCACCATCTGTGAGCTGCAGGTGGGCCAGGTCTTGGCCTTTGCTTGCCTGCAGTGTTGTTCCTTTCAGCTATGTCATTCAGTGCTACGTGCTGAATAGCATTTTCAGGTCTGTTGGCTAAGAATGCTCTGTTGCCCTTGGCTGTCAGTCCAGTCCAGATCTCTTCGGTACTCAAACTGAGCAAACTGCAGCCAGGGTGGGTTGGAATTTCTAATGTGGTGGCTAAAGAGTGTAGACTAGAGAGATCCTGTAAGCCATACTTGTGTGTTCAGATCTCAGCCATACTGCCTACTAGGCCAATGACTCTGAGCACATCTCTTGACTGTTTTATGCCTTGTTTAAATTATACACTTGCAGCTACACATAAAAGGGTGATAGTACTGCTACCTCCCGCCTCTGGCTGTCATGGGGTTAAATGTGATCGTGTCACTAAAACGCTCACAGAGCATGTTGTCATTGTTCGTTTGCTATTCCTGTCTTATCCAGAAAGAATTCAGGAGGCTGGATGACTTAGAACTTCATGTGGGTAGGGCTTGTCTTGTTTAGAATTATACTTATCATGTAGTAGGATTTCATAAATATTTGTTATGCAAAAGCCTGTCCAGAGCAGACAGGCTCTGGAGGATTAAAGGATGCTTCAGTCCTGTGAGTTTGTGGGTTAATTTCTCAAATTTATGTCAGTATAGAAAATAGTAAACATGTGGCCTTCCCCAAATAGTTCACCCTTCAAAGGGGCTTTCTACAAGGCAGGGAGCACTTCACCAACACAGGGGCTGTAGATAGAGGTGGAGCTATGAGATTAAGATTCCCTGGGACCCTTGTTCTAGTCAGTGGACCCTGCTTAACAAAAAATAAATTTAAAAACAGAAATTCCAAACATATAACCCAGTACAGGGTAAAATGAAATGAATCCCCATGTGTCCACCCCACTTGCTTCAGGGACTTGGCGTTCTGCTATTTTGGTTCTGACTGTTTTTGTCATGTCACCTGTAAGTTCTTCAGTATGTATCTAGCAGGTGCATCCCCTCACACCATCACAGTGTCATCATGATCTGCAGGACAACACCTTTCTGGCAACTTGTCCCCCATGGCCTTGAAAGTCCACTTATCACCTCAGGTTGATAGGACTTTAAGTTTCTTTTAATCAGTACCACCCTCCTATGCCACACACTTACACACTTTTTTCTCCTTATAATTCCTTCGTTATAGAAACTGGCTCCTGGACTGGTGGAGTAGCTCAGGTGATAGAGTACCTGTCTAGCAAGCATGAGACCCTGAGTTCAAATCCCAGTACTGCAAAAAAACAAACAAACAAACTAAAAGCTCCTTTGTCCTATAGAGTTTCCCACACTTTGAACCAGCTTATTGTCCTCACAGTGTCATTGTCAGTAACATGATCCTCCATTTTATTTAAACTAGTAATTAAATTTGGAACTTATTTAGAGTTAGAGTCAAGATTTTTTTCCACAAGGCTACATTATCAAGTGGTGTGCATACTTCCTTTTGTATCACATGAGGCACTAAAGTCTGTCTCATGTTTAATGTTGTCAGCATGAACCAGTGGCTTCAGTGTTTATCCACCTTGTCCTTCCAGTATTAAATTCTCCAGAAACCTTTCACCTTATTATCTTAGCAGCCATTGATCATTGTCTATACCTATTTCATTAGGTAATTATCATTTCTCTTACTTCCTGCACTTACCACCCATGATTCTTGTATTGCGATCTTTCCCTCATCAACTTCGATGAGGGATGTAAATGAGTCTGTAAAGGAAAGGTACAGGATCAATGTTTGATTTCTTTCCTTTTGCTTCACAATTAGCATATTATGAGTTGGTGCCTTAAATGTCATAATGAAGTCAGGACTTATTGTACATTTGATTCTTTTCATTCATTGCAGTCAATATTTTGTTATTCAACTTGTCTCAGGTTATCCCTACTGTGTCAGTGGCCCACACTAAGGACTTGTTGAGGTTTGAGGCTTATAAGAGGTACAGAAAATGCTCTAATAAACAGGTAAGAGGCAGAGGAATTGCTACGTGAGGAAAGCATTCTAAGGATGAACTGGGTAGCTGTGTTGCTCTGCTATGACAGGAGAGGTGAGTGCTCACCCGTGAGCATTGACCTTGCCAACAGCAAGGGCTTGGTGTCCTGATGAGCTGGATGATGGGAGGGAAAACATGGGAGTAGGCTTAGGAAAATTAGGAGAAAAGATATAATGAGAATGGATAATAGTTTCAAGGAACTTTACCATAAAGGGAAGGAAAAATATGGGATGGTAGCTGGAAAGGGCAGTGAAGTCAAGAAAATGCCATTTATCTTACTTATTATTTTTTACACTTTTCATTTTGAAATAAGTTTGGATTTAAAGAATTGCAAAGATAGTATGGATTTTCTCTATTTCTCTCACTCAGCTTCCTGGAATGTTAACATAGTCATAGTATATTTATCAAAACTAAGAAATTTATAGGACAGTTAATTGGTACAGCACTATTAAGAAAGCCATAGGTTTTTTTTTTGTTGTTTTTTTTTTAAGGTGAGTGAGATAATGGCCTGAATTGTATGAAAAACATGAGTCATTCAGGGGGACTCCTGTTGGGGAGGTGTTACAGTTTGACTATGAAATGTTCCTCACAGGTTCATGTGGTAAAGATTGGGTTCCCAGCTGGTGACAATATTTTGGGAGATGGTGGAGACTTCAGGAGGTGGAGCCTAACTGGAAGAAGTATATCTTTAAACCATTTATTTATTTTGTTGCAGCAGCAGCAACAAAAAAATCTGACTAGCACAGGTAGTTATAAGTTTTTCTAGGGGATGATGAATTGATTAACTGCTGTTTATTGAACATCTTCTGAGCTAGACATCAAGGATAGGAAAGGGTAAGACATAGGTTATCTTGCGGATCAAATTAAATACTTTGAGAAACTATTTTTATGAGGCTAAAGAATGATTAAAAGGAATCTTCTATAAAGAAGTATTATAAGCCAAGCATGGTGACACACCTGTAGTAGTTCCAGGTTGTTGGGAGACTAATCACCTGAGTTCGAGATCAGCATGGGCAACATAGTGAGAACCTGTCTCAAGAAAACAACAAAAGAATTATATT